GTGCAGCTGCCCCGGGCTGGCCGGCGCGGACCCGTCCTGCCCATTGTGGCCGTCCTGGGCAGCGCTCGGCATCGCTTCCCTCTCAGCCACCTCCTTGAGCCCCGCAGGGACCGGGGGGATTTCAGGGATGGTCCCGTCGCTGCTGGCACCTTCCCCTGTCACCAGGACAGGCTGCCGGGGCTCCATGGTGTCCGTCCCGCCGGGGCTGGCCGGTCCCTCCTGCTCCTCTCCCTTCCTGGGAGCAGGCTCTGTGTCACCTCAGAGGGTCAGAAACTCTCCGGGAGCAGCCAGGAATGGTTGCATCCTACATCCCTCCCTTCCGAGAAGAAGGAAACACAGATATTTCAAGACAGAATACACGCATTGGTCCAGATCCTTCATTGAGAGCGACTTGTTTAGCCAAAGCTAAGCGTGGGGGATGTTTTTCCCCTCCCTTTAGACTCAAGTAAATAAGCAAAACTAAAACATATCTGAGAATCCATCTCCGAAAGACTCTCAAGGCAGATTTTAAAGGGCCTCTTTATTAAAGGCCGAGTCCTGCTCCTACGGGCTGTGGCTCCCGCAGTCGCAGCTGCAGCCTAAGCTGCCTCACCCGGAGATCTTCTTATTCCTTAAGCCTTATCCCTCTGCCTCCTCCCGCCTTCCCAGCCCTCTCCCAAGCTCACAGGCGGAATCCAAGCCGGGAGCAGCCCCTGGGTGCTGCAGACGGGTGGACACCCTTGGAAGCACCTGCATTTCCAGCAGGACTCGGTCGAGGCTTGAGGGCAGAGCTGCCACGGGCTCCCCTGGCCTCAGGTTTAACCTTAGCCCCTCCGCTGGGATTTGCTTAGGAAAGAAAATGCAAAAGGAAGGCAAGTAGCTTCCCATTACCAAAAATAAAGCAATCCCAAAAGGACAGCACCGCAAAGGTGAAGTTTTAACAAGCTTTAACATCGCTGGGGCGAGAAAGGGGCATCTGCGGCTTTGGAGCCAGCCTGGGAGCCTCTGGAGCCACCTTCGGAGCTCCACGGCCTCTGCCTTACACAAAAATGATTCACAGGTAGGAAGCAGGAAAAAACTCCACCAAAACAGCCCGCAAATGCACTCATCTCCAGCAGGAGCGTAAAAACAGGGAGGAATTTGGGCCTGGAGCCAGGAGAGCACTTAAACACCCGCTGCGACTCGGAGAAGGAAGGAGCATCGGGCCCCGGTTAAGCGCACGCTTAAGCGCTCGCCTGGACAGAGGCCTCAGGAGCTGCCCCAGCAGGTGCTGATCCCCACCTTGCCCTGCACCGAATGGGAATACGGAGAGAGACATCGGGAGGAAAGGGGGGAAGGAGGAGGCAGGGAATGAACCCAGGAGCAGGAGGAGGAGCGCGAAGGAGCGCGGCGCGGGCGGGACGGCGGCTCCCCCATCCTGCCCAACCGGCTGCGGAAGCCCCGGGGCTGCGGCGCGGCCCCGCACCCCGTCCCGGTACCTGCGTCTCCTTGGGAAGCCGCGATGGGAGCTCCAAATCCCCCTCTTTTTGCTCCTTTTCCCACCTGCAGCCGCTGCCTCTTCGGGGCTGCTTCGCTCGTCACCTGTTCGCCAAGAGGTGACGCTCGGCCACGGGGACAGGGCCGCTCTCCAGAGGGGACCCTCGGCAGGGCTCCGGCCGGCGGTGTCCCCGGAGGAGCCGTCCCGCGTCGCGGTGACGCC